GAATTGAATAATTTACTGAACTCAGCAGAATATTTGCATCTTGAGACAAAAATATATCTGTTTGGTAAAATACCAAACAGATATATATTTTTGTCTCAAGATGCAAATATTCTGCTAAGTTCAGTATATTTAATTCTTTCTCTTTGAAAGTCTTTCTCTTTGAATAGTTTTTCTATATTTCGTTTTTGTTCTTTATATTTTATTGCTCTTTTATTTTTTCGATATCTTGTTTTTATCTTTGAATACCTTTTTTTATGAAAAGTGAGGGAAGTAAAAACTAAAAATTGTTATTTTTTTAAACGGAAGTTCATCTTGCGGCTTTAGGTAGTTTATTTGCCTTTGCAATAGCCACACTATAAATGATTGTATCAGGACACACCTGGTTGTGTGGTCAAAAGGGATAAGTAACCCTTTGAGAAAGATGGCAGAGGTGTGAGAATAAGTCATTGGACTTTACTAACTAAAAAGCAGCGACCACCCATTCTATAAACCTGATGCTTATTATATGTTCATTTCAAGATTACAAACAGGATGCAAAATAAAAAAAGGAAAAACATGTGGATCATTATATAGGTTCATCTTTAAATATTCTTCTAATTTTGTTGCGTATTTCAGGGTAGCAGCAGAGGATCAACTAATACAGAAAAATAGGGTTTTAGAAAACCGAATCGTAACCATTAGTAATTCTTGTTTTCAAAACAAAATCATCCTTTTTTGGAACATTTCTATAAGGTATGTATCAAAAAGAATAACAAAAACCATTTTCGATAGGTTTTCAATTTTTTTAAACTTCAGGTTAGGTGCAGCAGAGGATCAACTAATACAGAAAAATAGGGTTTTAGAAAACCGAATCGTAACCAAAAGCATCTTTTTCTTCGATTGTGCAAAACAGTTCCTAAACGTTTCAAATTTGTCAGAATCAGTCAGAATAGTAAAATTGTAACATCAGAAAATCAGTTTCTATAACTGGACAAAAAATAATTCTTGTATCATTAGAAAAATCTTCTCTTTAGTAAGACCATAGACCATATAATAATATTCAACCCCAGTAGCATATTAGAGATATGTTACACACCTAATAGCATTAGTGTTATTTATCTTACACCGCAATAGCGCATTAAAACTATCTTGCTCTCATCTCAAAGCAATTCCGACAATTTTTAAAAATACATCTCCCTCAAACGTCCCTAAAAATTTTACATAAAAAACACATAAAAACTAAATGAAGATACTTGTCTTTATTTATGATTTATAAAATAAAAATATTCTTCTATATAAAAAGATAAAACATTTCTCTGCGGGGATTTTTAAATTGGACTTGGAAATTTTTTATTTATTTTTTTTTTTTTAATGCCTGACCAGAATCCGGATCCAGGTTGATCATCATATATAACAGTGGATTATTTTTCTCGTAACTGAAGAGTTGCCTACCGTATGGGCGGTGGCATTGCTGGACGGGCGGCTCCCAATCGTTTCCCGGGAGCCACCCTCTTTCACTACACGAATTCTCCTCTCATTGCTTTTCTACACTGCTGCAACGATTTCTGTAGCAGTATATGTTCCATATAGTGGTATGTTTACTGATATTAATGCGCAAGCGCCGCACGTATTGCAATATTCAATTTCTATCATATTGTATGAAAGTTACTCGAAAAATATTAAATCCTATATAGTATTTACTATATATTTTATATATTTATAAGTATTTACCATATATATTATAAATAAAGTATATGGGAAATTCTACGTGAAATTTTTCTACATTTTAAAATCGGTAAATATATTTTTTTCTCGTTCTTTATAGAAAAATATTAAATACGTATTTTTTTATAACTGCCAAAATTTTCGAGTTATGAATTTTCGAAATTTAGGATTTTTAAAAGCAGACCTATTTTTAGTAGCTTATAACTTTGAAAGTATTGAGTTTAGAAAAAAGTTGTCAAAGAAAGAAAATTTTTGTTTTTTATCAACTTTTAAGTAGTTTAAAAAAAAATTTGTTTTAAATTTTTAATTAAAATAAATTATAATATTCAATATGCAATTAATTGGCTTTAGCAGCAGTTATTTTTTTAGAAAAAAAATTAATTTTTTTAATTTGAATATGATTAACCCGTTGCCTGTTTCCGATCCACGGGTGGGTCGTGAAAAAGTATAACACTATCACTCAAAATAAATATAATTTGTATATAAATTGATAGATATTTTTCTTTATATCAATATTATAAGACATTATAAGGGTCATTAAGGATATTTTAGAAAATAATTTTAGTTATAATTTAAATATATTATATACTATATTTGAAAAAGTATCAGATTCAGCTGGGCATTTTGGGACAATCATGTTGTATTTTCCTCAAACAGTTAAGGGGTAAATTTTAATTTTTCTCTATTTACTTATGCCTGATATATAAAGAAAATTTTCCTAAAAGAGTCCAGAGATGGGCCGATTGAGTTTAAGGAGTTTAAAATTTTTTTTAAAATTCGCTTTCAAGTTGCTCGTAGGCTATATGCTACTATACGCTTCACAGTGGGAGTTTTTTTTTTTTTCCAAAAAAATTCGATTCTGTCTATATTTTTCAAATTTTTGAAAAAATTAATTTGTTTATAAAAAAATAATTTTTTAAATTATTTAAAAATTGAAGAAAAACTAAAAGTTTATAAAAAAATTTAAAAATACGTATTTAATATTTTTTTATAAAGAACGAGAAAAAAAATATGTTTAACCGATTTTAAAATATCATAGAAAAATTTCACGTAGAATTAACCATATATAGTTCTTAAAAAAAATTTTGTCTATTTTCTTCAAGAATTATTTTTTTAGAAATTAAAATATTTATCTGTAATTAAAGGTATTTTTACTTGTTTGCTACTAATTTGTGTTGTGTAAACAACTTTTTATTTCTAGCATCTTTTATTCTTGGCTTTTTTAATTTCTATAGATTTTCATAAACAGGATGCAGGAACAAAAAGAATTTTAATGTAAAATGCTTCTTGATTCGTCAAATATTGCGTAACTTATTTTTTCCTTTTTTTATAACCATAAGTCTTTGTATTGAAGGTCTAACTGATTTCCGATGCAATTTTTTGTTATTCTGCATACATTTAATATTAATCTTCTTATATTATAAAATATATTTTTGGTCGATTATTTCGATTTCAAAATTTAAATTTCTGTTCACTGTTTTTTAAGACTATTAAATTGATACTAAAGTGGACCAAATTGATACCAAAAATGTCTTAATATAATTTTTATAATTATAAATTTTAATAGATCTTAATATAATCTTAATCTTATATTATAAAATATATATACTTTTGGTCGATTATATCGATTTAAATTATTTTTATTTTTAAAATAAATATTTAATTATCATATCCATTATTTTTCCATATATAGGTTTATAAGATTTCAAAAAAAATTTAAATTTTAAATCCTTTAAAGTCGAATACTTTTTAAGAATTGCTTCTGTAACTTATTAAAAATTATTTTCAAAATTTCAATTCAATTATTTTTTAGAAATTTTAACTAAAATGTTTCTAAAATCCACTTGTTTACAAGACAATTTCATGAAATTTCGAATAATTTTAAAGTTTTTCAATTAAATATTATATATTTAAAAATATAACAAATTTGAAAAAAATGTGAATAAAAATGTTTCATAAAACTAACTTATTCAGAATTTTCAATTAAAATTTTTTGCAATTCAGCTTCTTTAAAACTTCAATTTTGAAACTTTTTAAAATTCAATCTATATTAATATTAGTAATATATTAATTTAACATCTTAAAATATAGAAATAGTTGCTTATGAATAATTGTAAAAAAACGAAGTGATATTAATGCAAAATACGGTTTTTAAAAATTTATTTTTTCAGAAAAGAAATTTTATTTATTTTTATTGCTTATTTACTTTATTTATTATATAAAAATTTATTTTTATAAATTTCGTATCACTTTTGTTCTAATTAGTCAAAATTTTTACTAATTCAAATTTATTTTGTGATAATATTATTGCAAAAAAAATTTATAAATTGATTTATTTTTCACTATATTTCATAGGATGTGAAATTTTTTCTCTTTCAATTTTTTTCGACAAATTCAATTAAAATTATATATTTTGATAAATTATTGTTAGAAATAGAAAGAATTTAAAATTAACTTTAATATTTTCTTTTCTTAAGTCCGTTACGTTGGACAACAAAATTCATAATTTTTTTTATAAATTCTAAAAATAGAATATTTTTCCAGTATACTTTTGATAAAATTCCCTGACAAAATAAAAAGATTTTATAGAAGATAATTCAATCTTTTTTAATGAAATATTAATTAATAAGTCTTAAAATAAATATTTCTATTTTTTGTCACAAAATAATATCAGCATTTTAAAAAAAAAAATTCCAAAATCCTGTTGAAGATGAAAATTCACTGTCATTTCCCGGTTTTTCCTGGTCCAAAAAAATTCTCAGCTAAAATAACGTATTCTTTCTTATAATTCCGTATTGAATTATAAAAAATATATTTTTTTATTTTTTTTAAACGTTTTATTTTTATTTTCCTATCTTCATATTATTATTATTTATTATATACTATTAATTTTTTATTTTTATAATATTAATTTTTGTTATTAATATTAATTCTAAAATTTAATTTAATTGTAGAGGAATTGAAACGCAGTTTTTCTAAGGATATCAAATTGAGACAAAAAATGTATCAAAACGTTGCTTCGCAACTATTTTGATACATTTTTTGTCTAAATTTGATATCCTTAGAAAAACACTGAATAAATTGAATCCATAGAATTTAAAGTTTAATTGAAAGAGTTCCTAATTTAAAAAGTAGAAAAAAATTTCTTAAAGGATAGAAGGATAAAAATTTGCGAAAACAAAATTTAGAAAAAGAAACGAGAAATTACGAAACATTTATTTTATTTACGATACGATTGTATTTGATCGATTTCATTTGTTAATATAAACAAGCATTATTGCATGCCCAATTATATTATTATAATACAAGGTATATATACATTTACAAGGGAATACAAGTGTTCACACCTATATGAGACAAATTCGTATAATTTCTATGTTTTTCTGCGTTTTTTGTTTTTTTTTTGTTTTGCCTTTTAAATTTCGGTAATTATTTATAATTACAATAATTAAAACCGTGCGCATTAGAAAGATCGATTTAGAATACTGATCCTATATGTATACTTTTTAACGCGGATGTATACATGCATATTTTTAAAATTTTCGATTCACGGGTTACTTATATAGAATATAATTAATATTGTTTTGGTATAATCGTCACAGCGATTCTGTGGATCGCAAAATCGTTTGATTTCTACTCTCTTATTTTATATATATTTATAATAATATCTTGATTTATAGTAAAATGCTATATCTGTCCTATATAAACGGTATTGGTCATTCTGCAATAACATTCACTCGATAAAAATAGAGAAACTATTTTTCGGATTATATACATTATAGTTTTTTAACAATGGTTTTTTTTGTTTTACCTAAAATGGTCCTCAAATATTGTTTATTAATTCGAACATTTATTAATTATTGCTGCATTTGAAGAAAAAAAGGAAAAAATCAAGTAAATCCTCTTCTTTTTTAATGGTTTTGAAAAAAAATCATTTTCTTCAATTTTTGAAGACTATTTTAGTTTTTTCTAATCAGCCAAAAAATAACAAAATAATTTGTTAGAAAAGACTTCTTTTCTGTTTCAAAGGACTATTTGTCCTTCAAAAAAAATAAGTCTACAATTTTTGTTCGAAACGATATATTTTTAAGTTATGAATTTAAACAATTTTTATCAAAAAAAAGCGGGACGAAAGTACCGTTTAAGGTAAAAAAAAATATTTTTTCTCGGAATATATATAATTTCAGAAACAAAAAATTTTTATGTGATTTAAAGATCTCTTTACAAATATATTTACAAATTCTTAATTATATTTACATAATTATACATATAAAATAAGTTCATAATAGTCACAGGGCACATACTTTAAAAATCTAAATTTATCCTCACAAGTTGTCTTGAGTTTATTACATTATACAGGTGGGGGGTCATTCCTCCTGAAATTGTTTTGCCTTCTTTTTTCTCAAAAAAAATTTTCCAAACATATATAGAATTTATCGTATAGTTACAGTTTTATTCAGTTTCTTAATAAATAATTTAAATTTTCTAAAGTAATCAGAATTAAGTAAATTTTGCGCTTTTAATATTGTAATATTATATGTACATTGTTAAATACCTAAAAGTAATTAAAATTTCTAAAGGTGAATTAAATTTCTAATTTTTTTGCAACACTTTGACATTTTTCTAATATTTCGGCTTCTGTTTTGTTTTAAGGAAAAATTTGTGAATAATCAATTATATTTGATTTTTCAAAAAGAAGGACCCATTAACTAAAAATATATAAATTTTACACTTTGAGCAAAATATTCAGGAATCTTCAATTAATAATATTAATATTAATGAACAAGTATAATGGTGGTTAGGCAAATTTCTATTTGTAGTATTTGTTTCTTGTGTTCTGAAATAGGATTGGCTGTGCTTTTTCGAAAAAAAATTTGTTTTAATAATAAAGATTTTTTATAATCCAAAATTTAGATATTTAAACTTCAAAATGATTTGAAATTCTAATCTCGTTCATACTTTACAGTTTAAAATTTAATAAGTTTGTATTATTATTATTACAAAAGGAAAATACAATTTTTATAAAACTGATCAGTTTAATTTTTTTCTTCTTTCGCTTGAATTTAATCATTATGATTAAAATTATAAATCGTATTTTTAAGTTTATAATTTTCATTGAAATTTGTGCCTGGGAAAATAATTTTCTTTGTATAAATATCAGCATCTACCAATCCTGGTTTTTAAGTAAATTAAAAAGGAAGTAACATCACTAAAAATACGATTGAATATCACTCACGTAAGTTGCATTTTTCTATTTATATAGAATTTTACAGTCTACTGTTAATTATTATCAGACAAACGATTTTCTTATTAAAAACATTAAAAATTTTTGAAAACTGAATAATAAAAATTTAGAATTTATATTCTGTAATGGATGGCCTAGTGATTTTCGGAAACAAGTATGGATAAAAAATTGGATCTTATTTACACCAGATTGGATCAAATTGAAAACAAATTGGATACAATTGATACCAGCTTGAATCAAATTGAACCAAATACATTCCAAATTCCATCAAGATGATATTACATTACATACCAAATTGATACTAAATTGAATAAAATTGTACCAAATATATACCAAATTTGGGTTAAGTTGATACCACATTGAATCAAATTTACATCAAATTTGATCCAATTTATACCAACTTCAATCAAATTGATGACAAATTGTATTAAATGGATGCCAAATTGGATCAAATTTATACTGAATCGAATCAAATTGTACCAAATTGTATCAAATGGATACCTAATTGGATAAAGTTGATACTAAATTAGATTAAACTGATACCATATTTATTTTAATTGATACCAAATTCGATCAAATTGATACCAGAAAAAATATGAAATTTATACCAAATTGATACCTCATTGTATCAAATTGTATCAAATGTGTACCAAATTGGATTAAGTTGATACCACATTCAATTAAATTGATACCAAATTAGATCAAGTTGATACCACATTCAATTAAATTAATACCAAATTAGATCAAGTTGATACCACCTTCAATCAAATTTATATCAAATTGTATTAAATGGATACTAAACTGGGACAAATTTATATACTAAATTGGATCCAGTTGGTACCACATTGAATGAAATTGTATCAAATGGATAACAAATTGGATTAAACTTGGATTTATACCAAATTGTACTAAATTTATACCCAATTGGATCAAGTTAGTACAACCAAATTGGAACAAGTTTATACCTCGGTCAATCAACTTGATACCAAAATTGAATCCAATTGTTACCACAATGTTTCAAATTGTACACCAAATATATACCAAATTAGATCAAGTTGGCACCATCTTTAATCAAATTGAATTTTTTGGTACCATGGATACCAAACTAGATGAAATTTACAACATTGGATCTAGTTGGTACCATATTGAATCAAATTGTATCCAATTGATACCACATTGGATAAAGTTGATACCAAATTGGAACAACCTCATACCATAGTGATTTAAATTGATACCAAATTCAATCAAATTAATACCAGAAATAGGATAAAATTGCACCAAAATTTAAAAATTAAAAACCTAAATGACTCAGAATAATCTTGTTAAAATTTTTCCCTTTCTCAAAATACTAAAAATTGAATTTTGTTTTTCATTTGTATACAAGAAAAGAATGCATGCTTGATAATATTTGACAGTAGGTAGTTTTTCTTTCTTGTCAGTCAAAATTAACATTGGAATTATTCGACAATTGATAGTCATCGTAATCACTATAATATCGTGCGCGAAATATTTCGATAACAACACCTCGTGAAGGCATAGTCTCTCGCTTTATTTTTTATGAAAACTTTCGTTGTACCACTCGGTGCCGGGATGACCACAAAATTCTTAATACCAAACTCATAGTACATTCACAGTACAACTTATGGTTGTATCAACAGTTGTGGTACAACTAATGGTTGTATTGACACTCATAGTAAAACTGACAGTTGTATCAACATTCATGGTACAACTGTAAATGGTTGCATCAAAATTTATGGTACAACAGTAAATAGTTGTATTACTATTCATGGTACAACCACAAATAGTTGCATGAAAATTTATGGTACAACCGTAAATAGTTGTATCACTATTCATGGTACAACCAAAAATAGATGTATCAACACAAATGGCACAACCACAAACAGTTGCATCAAAATTTATGGTACAACCGTAAATAGTTGTATCACTATTCATGGTACAACCAAAAATAGATGTATCAACATTCATGGTACAACAATAAATAGTTGTATTAACAGTGATAGTAGTACTAAAGGTTGTGTCAACACTAGTAGTGCAACCATAATAGTTGTCATAATGGTACCAACACTCATAGTACTAGTAGTAGTTGTATTAACACTAATGGAGCGACCAGAATTGTTGTACCAACACTCATAGTGCAACTAATTGTTGTATCAAGAATCATGGTACAATCATAGTAGTTGTATTAATACTAGTAGTGTAACCATAATTGTTGCCATAATAGTACCAACATTCATAGCACTAGTAATAGTTGTACCAATATTCATAGTACAACTAATTGTTGTATCACTACTAGTAGTACAGCCATAATAGTTGTATAACTACTAGTAGTACAATCATAATAGTTATAATACTACTAGTGGTGCAACCATATTAATTGTACCAACTCTCCTAGTAGGACAATAATAGTTGTACCAGCACTAGTAGTACAGCCATAGTAATTGCACCAACGCTCCTAGAACAACCATAATAATTGTATTAACACTCCTAGTACGACCAATAGTTGTACCAACACTAGTAGTACAACCAAAATAGTTGTACCAACACTAGTAGTACAAACCATAATAGTTGCACCAACACTAGTAGTACAGCCACAATTGTTGTATCATCACTTAACAGTTATATTAACACTCCCAGTACAACCACAATAGTTGTCTCACCACTCACAGTACGACTTGCTGGAAATTATCGATAAGCTGACCGATTTCGTAATAATGGGGTCGATGTTACAGGGCCGTGAGTCCATAATCAGACTTTATAATTGGCGGTGGTACCGGAGTGGAAAGTCCAGGAGGACTCGTTGCCGGCGCAAGTGGACTTATACTTCCAGAATTCATGTGAACCATTGAACCACCAGAACCGACGACGTCCATCATTCCACCTATGTGATGATGACTCAGCTGTGCCTGAAGGTGGGCCAGTGGATGTGTGTGACCTTGAAAGCCAGGATGTGGGCCATGAGGATGTTGAAGACCACCACCATGAACATCGTTCATATCAAGTTGACCGATACTACCATCTAAACTATTCTCCATACCGCTTGACGGTGAATTATTATTATTTTTTCTCGAACTATTATTATTTCCATTTTTACCCCTTGAATTTGATGCTTTACTTTTTGATGGTTGCGATTGACCGCTGGTATTTTTTCTTCTCACATTCTTTGTATTCGGTAATTTATTGTCCTTCTTCCATTTCATTCGACGATTTTGAAACCAAATTTTTATCTGCCGCTCAGATAGAACGAGAGTGTGGGCAATTTCAATGCGACGTCGCCTCGTTAAATAGCGATTGTAGTGGAATTCTTTTTCTAATTCGAGTATTTGATGTCGTGTGTACGCGGTTCTTTGACGCTTTGGTTCCATTCCTGGCTGATAGGATCCATTTGCTGGAACAAAAAAAATTATTTTTGTTAAAAATAGAGATTTAAAAAGTGGGAGTAAAAAAATAGAGTTCGGATTCTATTCGCTTCATTTCGCTTGTGAGAGAATTTTTATGCCATCTAGGCGGTAATTTAAAGAACTGTCTTGGCGCGAAATTCAAAAATTTAATTAAGTGTATATTAAAATTAATAATATATAATTAATTACTCGCCATAAAAATAGTATTGTGTTGATTTCTAAATATTTTGAAATCTAAACAACAAAAACAAATAGAAAAAATAGAAAAGTTGAGTAGAAAATTAATAAATTATATAGTATTTTCACTAAATTTTTTGTACTATATCTAAAGAACCACTTTGATAAAATTCTATTGAATTTTCTTAACTGGGATTTTAATAGCAGCAAGCTTCTTATATACTATTAGAAAAATTATACATAGTTTTTAAGTATAATGAAAAAATGTATAATGTAATGTAACCGCAAAAGGCTAATTATAAAACCACTTCATCAAAAGTTATAAATATTAATAAACTCCGTCCATATAATGCACTTTTAAAACTCTATATTTTCTTTATTACATGCTGCTCACATTTCACACATCATTGTCAGGTATAATCGCAAAAAGAGTAGAAAAATATTTACATTTTATGTGCTAATAAACATTATCTCATCAAATCTAAATGCAATGTTACTGTTTTCTTTTTCCTTTTGAATAGCATAATATATATAGATATATATGTATTTCATAAAAAAAAGAGTCACTTTATTAAAAATTCATGTGTAAATTCAACATAGCCCATTTGGAGATAAATATCGAACACGTTATCGTGCTCGAATGAAAATGCAAATTAATATCGATTCAAGGTATACGAGTATAGGAAACGCTTGTACCTCGGGTATAGTAATAATTACTCTGAAGCTAATGAGTCGACTGTTAATATGTATACTTGAAAAAAATTTATTAATTACCATCACTTTTAGTTCGGGGTATAAAAATATATAAATATATACTTTCTCTGTTGATTGGACATGTGGTATTTTTCTCATTGAAATAAGTGACAATTAAGTGACAAAGTTTGATATTTTTATAATGTAGACATTAAATTAGATAATTTTTTTTAAACAAATAAAAAATAAAAATTGAATACAATATACTGCATGCGAGTGATTTCTCACTCGTGGTCACTTTTGCTCCCCAGTTTCCTATTTATTGATATTTAAAAATTATGTTCAAATCTGCTTCAAACTTTTGAAAATTAATCTTCACTATATTTTTCCATTTTTTAGCAATATAATCGAAAAAAATGTCAATTTTTAAACAAAGGTTATGATTTAATTTGAAATGGATCAAAAATGCGCTTTTCTTGATTCTTCCCGCACAGAAATCATCATTCGAAACTTCATCTCCAAAAATAAGTTTTTTTTGTGTTTTTTCCAATTTTCAGTGATAAATTTGTGTAAAAATATTTTTTAATATGTACTTTTCCCAATATTTTGTTATTCAGAACCAGAGTTTACTTACTCATGGATTTTTATTATTTTTATTCAAATTTTTAGTACGATTTTACTTATTATTTATATTGTCAAGTTAACAAGTTGTATTTATGTGTTGAAATTGCATAAAAAATAGCATTTTTAGCTTTAAAACTACAAAAAATTAGAAATTAATTTGTGTTTAAATATTTTGTAATATTACTGTATTGAGTATTTCCTAAGCTTGCTCAGAATACATTTTATTTGATTCTTTACACTAATAATATTATTAATGGAAAAAACTTGAATTTTTTAAACTTATTATTTAACCTCTGAACTAAAAATGTTACAATTGTTTATATAAGATTAAAAAAAATTTAAGCTCACTCTCTAAATTTAATTAGTAAAAATGTTTACTAATTTGAATTAGTGACTAATTTTTTGCTTTTAAATTAGTAAATTTTACTTATAAATTAGTAGAAATTACTATTTATTTAGTATAATTTACTAATTCAAAAGAAAAAGTCAGTCACCAATTCAAATTAGTAAACATTTTTACTAATTTAGATTTAGAGAGCAAATATTAACAGAATAATTATTTTCAAGCTTCATTAAGGGCAGAGTACACCAATATTTTTAACTATATATCAAGAAAATAATTTAAATATTTCACAAAATTACTTTTAATGTAATTTTTTTTAAGGAATTCAATTGTCATAAAATAAAATCAGTCAGAAAATATTTTGACCTTTTTCTGAATTTTTATTTTTTTTACAAATTTGTGGATTTTGAAATCCATACGTAATTTTGTAGAAAATAGGTTTTTGAATCCATTAAAAAATTGAAAAATGAAAAATTGATTTTCGTAATTTTTGAAGTAATTTGTTTTTAAAGAAAATCTTTGTTTTTAGACTGAAAATGCTAAAAAAAAATACCATTGTTATTGAATTTCTGTACATATGGAAATTCATTTGTTTATTTTTCTAACTAATTTCAAATCATAATTTTATCCTCATTTTGTCGTATTTTTAATTTTTTTCATAAAAAAATTATGATTTGAAATTAGTTAGAAAAATAAATAAATTAATTTTTATATAAAAAAATATTGAATAATAATAGTATTTTTTTAGTATTTTTAGTCTAAAAACAAAGATTTTATTATAAAAAAATGCTTCAAAAATTATGAAAATAAACTTTTTTATTTGGCAATTTTTTGTGGATTTACAAAAATTATGCACAAATTTTAATAGCTTTAAATTTTTAAGAAAAAAAAATTCAAAAATAATCAAAATACTTTCTGGTCGATTTTGAATTTCTCAAAATATTGTTTGACAGATCGAAAAAGTGATATTTTAAATAAATATTTAAATATTATATTTCCGTAGGAATTATTACAAATTTTCAAGACATTCAAATTCAAATTTTTTTAAATTCAATAACGAATATTTTTATAAAACATGAAGATAGCGATTGCTCCGAGTCGAAGACTCGGAGTGATCGATTTCTTCATGTATTATAATAATTAAAGATGACCAAGTAATAAAATCATTATTTTATATTATAAGAATATTATACTTCTTCAAAATTATTTTTATTATTTCAATTCAATTATTATTTTCTACAATTTTTAATTATTTTTTATGAAAATAATTGAAAAATTTTATTATTTATAAAAATAATTGAATTATTGCGAAGGAGTTTATAAAAAATTTGTAAATAATAAATAATACAATTTTATTATTTATGAAAATAATTAAATGTTTGCCTACTATTTTTGGGAATTTAAAATTGATTTGTAAATAATTGAACTTTGGAAAAGAATTTTGTTATTTATAAAAATAACTGGGATTTTGACGAGAATTTTTTTGAAAGATAATTGAATTTTATGAGAAGAATTTTATCACTTTTGAAAATAATTGAATCTCTGCAATTATTTGTAATTTTTCCAAAATTTGATTTTTTTTAGTGTTTTCAACAAATGAATTACAAATTTTTAAATTCTATTATTTTTAAAATTGCTAATGACAACCTAAAAAGTTAGTCGCGCGCTTTAGCGGACGAATTGTTGCTATAGTATATATTAAATTTTGTCAAATTATTTTACAAACTGGAGAAAAAAATTACAAAGCGAAATTTTGATATAAAAAATATACTGAACTTTAAAAAAATTTATGTGAAATTTTGTATAATTATATCAAATATCAAGAATATTAATTAACTTTACTTTTCACCTAAGTTTTTTTAAAGTTTTGTATTTTTTATATCAAAATTTCGCTTTGTAATTTTTTTTCCCAGTTTGTAAAATACTTTTACAAAATTTAATATATTTTCGCTCTCCGTGTGGAATATTTAAATTATTTTCTTAATATAGTTAAAAAATAACGGTGTACCGTTCCCTTAAAAAGATTTTATATGGAAATTTTAAAAAAAATTAATTTTAAAAAAGTTACCAATTTGTAGAGAGCAAAAGATTTTAATAATTAAAAATTTCAAACTAAAGCATCATTCAATTATTATTGTTTTTGTTTCTTTAAAATTGATAGCGTACGCTATCAATTAGCGTACGCTAGTGATTTGATTTCTATTTTTTTCAAATCAATATTACACGTGTAATATTGATTTGAAAAAAAATAGAAATCAAATCACTATGCTATTAAATTTATAATTTTTAATTATACGAACGAAATACATTTCTTGATATTATATAAATAGCATTTTCTGCTAACAAAATATAAATTCCGTACACTGCAAAAAGAAGTATTAAAAGTGACTACAAAGTTACTTAATTTTTTTTTTTTTAATTGTCTTCAAAATTTTTTAATGGAAAATTTGGATTCTTTGGCCTCAAACTCAAAACAAAAATTATATTAAGATCCAAAAACGGACTTTCAACAAATTACTTAATTTTTGCAATTAAATAACATAATAAAAGATGAATTTAAATCTATGTCCTGTAATAATCAATAGCACATGTTATTAAACCAACAGTATTTGAATTCGAAAGATATTAAATGTGCAATTTCTTGCGCGACAAACAAATATATTTATGATTCAATAGCTTTTTTTCAGTGTATAAAAGAAGAAAAAAATAATTGAGTACATATATATGTGATTACTCAATATACAGGATATAAGTCGCCATAAAGTGTGTTTTCATTACTTCTTAACTTGCTACTCGTTAGAAATGAGAGTTCATGGTCCGTCAACTTTGTATGTAAGACAATTATGCTTGAAAGTACTTCTCATGCATTCTCGATTCGAATCAGGTCAATGTAACTGGTTCAAGCAGGAAGCAAGTCCTATGATTTTATATATATAAATTTTTGCTTCGTCAACTACCATCATCACTTATAGAAAACGGATTTTCCCTTCATAAAACTTCAAATTTACAAAACTAAAAATATCCGATCATTTTCCATTAAAATAATTCCCTTTATAATAAAAGTTATGTAAAATATTTCATGTTAACTTGACAAGCTTATTAATTATAAAGAAGCAAGGAAGTTGTTTTTGAGTCTTACTCTTAAAAAAG